ACTTAAGGCCTCTCTGAACTACAGTTCCCATCAGGGAGGCTCTTGAGAGAACCAGACAGAGCAGCAGGGAGGGAAGGAGAGCTGCATTGTGGGGATTGTAGTTACTGTGAACCGTTTCATGTAAGGAAAGCTACAGCTGCGGTGGAGCAGGAATGTATTTGATATGGGGAAAATCAGGTTCTTGGTCTCATTAAGTAAAAGAATTTAAGAATGGACTCAAATAGAAATTCTAGGACATTTTTGTTAGAATTTAAAATAAAAACCTCGGGGCAGGCAAACTGGAAAACCTCATCAGCTGCCTGGAGAGGAAAGGAGAAAGGGAAATCCATGTCATTTCAGCTGCCACCGAGGTCACTGATGTCACAGACAAGCAGCCCAAAATGTTAAGGAAAACATGCTTAGCTTAGTAAAGAGACAGAAGAAAAGGAAAACCACTCCTGTCTGAATAATTCAGAAAAGAGGGCAGACTTGTACTGTAGGCTTCTGCACTGGGCCAGAGGATTCTGGGAAGGAACAGTACAGCATCTCATTAAAGGACTAATTACTCCAGCTCTTTAGTTAACATGGCTTAGGGTGAGTCCACCTTCCTAGGGCTAGAACCTGCTCACCTGGGGTGTTAGCTCTCTACCTGGGCCAGAGATTCTACTCTCTCGGTCAGGAGATTGATTCCTTGTTTTCTTTTCTACCCTAGCGTGTTAGAGGAGACCCCACCTAAGTGACCACACCAGGAAGAGAGAGTGAGGGAGACCATGGCACTGATCTTCACCTCCCCACGGCCCGCTCCCCACAGCCTGCTCCCCAGTGCCTGCTGCGGGACCTGATGATCTGTCTATGCCCACGCCTTGGAGCTGGGCTGCATTCTGACTGGCTTTGGCCAGAGGAATGCAGGAAACTCAATAGGGTGGCAGCTGCCTTAGGGGGCAAGCAGTTCCCCAGGTCCTGTTGGCTTTTATGTGGGTATCAAGGATGCAGTTTGGGGATCCAAACTCTGGTTCCCAAGTTTCTGCTACGGGTGCTTTCCCCCACCCGCCATCTCCCCAGCCCCTTTCTCTAGTCCCATTTCACAGGGAGAGAAATAAGCTTTTTCAGCTAGGAGTCCCAACGTAATCATTACCCTGGGTTATATATGCTGAGTATTGACTCTGAGTGTGAGTGTGACTGTGTGTGCTCATGTGTGCATGCACATCTATGTATCTGTGTCTGTGTGTCTATGTGTGTCTGTGTGTGTGCACACGTCTACGTCCTCCACTACCTGCTGTAGGAGCTGCAGGTATGTCTCCAGGTCATAACAGCCCTCACTAATTCCCACCCCTGAATTTTTAAAGTTGTTTTTAATTCTTTGTTATGTGTGACTGCAGTGATTCTTCTCTCTGGCCGACAACCGAGACTCCACGGGACAGATTTTCAGAGGCCAAAGGCACACACACTTTTAAGCCTCCTGATGTATACTGCTAAATCGCCCTTCAGAAAAGTCTCCCCGATTTGAGCTCTTTCTGCAGCGACTGTTCTGGGGAGCCCCTTCCCATGCATGTGTGCTAGCAGTGGTTAGAATTGCTATCTTAAATCTGTCAATGTGGTAGGTGAAAATGTGTGTCTCAGTGTGCCTATAATTATTTTCTTTAGTTACTAGTGAGATCTTTTTCTATTTATTAGCCTTTTATATTTCTTCATCTGCTAATGATGTGGCATAAAAGATAAAAGCAGGTTACAAACCACTGTGCATAATAGGATCCTAAGTTTGTTAGAAATGGACAAGGCTAGCCAAAGGACAAATGTGCTGTGGCCGCTTCAGGGCAGTGGGGAAGTAAAATTCTACTCTTCATTTTCAAATTTGTTCATTTTCCAAATTATACATGATGAACAAGCATTGTTTCCATAGCCCAAGACGATGTGATTTTTAAAAGGGACAGTTATAATGATCTTATTAAAAAGAGTCCAAAGTTTTCCAATGGAGTTGGGAGGCAAGAAGAGCCCCAAGTTCACCAAAAAGCACAGTCCAACAGAACTGCCAGAGGCATCACGGCTCCCTAGTCACTGCAGACACCCACATGCAGCATAGTCTGCCTCTAGAAAGGGCAAAGGTGAGTCTCCAGGGACAGGGCAGCAGGCCCAGGACGTGGCCAGTGGGTACCAGGCGCTCACAGGCATCCGTGGGTAATTACATCCCCTTTTAACGCATGCAAATTGTATCAGTATTATTTATATATTCAAAGCCACGGATGAATAATATATGCATTTATGCAGAGGTAATTGCCTTAGCCAGGTTCTTCCTGGGACTTTTATTGTCTCCCCAGATACTGAATATTCAACTCCCTTCCCAAGCAGTGGCACTGTCTGCAGCCTGGCCTCCTCCAGGGAAGGGGCTAGTCTTGCAGGGAGGGAGGTTTGGTTGGGGCGTGGGGGCGAGTACCGGAACAGGTTCAGCTGTTCGTCCTACACCACACTTGAAGATGAGGAGGCTAGGGGCTCAGGCCAGGGCTCAGCATCTAATCTCTCAGCCTGGACCACTGGCACTGGCTATAAACTGTCAGTCTGGCATGCATCTCTGTTAAACCTGGACGTTTACTCCATGCACACTGCCAGCCCCTCTTGCAGGGTCTGCACCTTTTGTCCTGCTGACAGCCTCGTTTTAGACCCCTCTTATCTTGCCTTTGTACAAACCACTGTAGCCAGAGTGAGTGGGATGTGTGTGCGTGTGGGTGAGCAGCCTAAGCAGATACCCTATTACTCTGCCCATCCTTGTCCATTTGAGACAGGTGCCCCATCTTTTTAGGTATCCCCACACGGAGAGACAAGAAGGAATGTCAGGATGCCGTGGGTGAGGGGCTCCATCAGCGAAGCATGGTTGGCTGGCTTTTCTGTAAGCATCCTTTGTCTAGGAAGGTCTCCCTCTTTTGAAAGCAGCTCGGGAGCAGCACCTGCACCCCCCACATTGCCCTCACCAGGGTGTGGGCTCACAGGGTAGCACATGGGAACTGTTTTTAAGAAAGTTGACCGAGAAGTGAGTTTTGGTGAAAAGACAAATAGGCTCCAGAGGGATGAAAGCTGGCACTGTGAGGTGAATGAGCAACGTGCTCACAGAAGAAGGTGGGTGGGGCCTTGGACAGAGTGGGACAGAACAGGGACTGATGGCCAAGTGGAGGCAGCACCCTGTGGGGGAGCGCAGTGCTGGGGGAGCGCAGTGGTGGGGTGGGTGGTGGGAGGGGGCTGGGAGTGCAGGGGACCCTTCTCGTTAAGTCACTCACAAGCTTACGGATCAAGCTTTGGACACGCTGTCTTGTTGCTGTCACTACCCAGTGAGCTTTCAACCCCATCCTAGAACAGACTGCTGGCCTCAGTCCCCAGCACTGGCTCCTACACGCTGGGCTCCTGTGTGTCCTTGTCCACGCAAGAGACCACGTGACCATCTCAATCGGTGTTCTGCTGTAACAGAGCACCACAGGCTCAGTCGTTTATAAACAACAGAAGGTTCTTTAGCTCCTGGCTCTGGAGACTGGGGCATGCAAGAGTATGGTGCATTTGGTGAAGGGCCCTATGCTGTCGTAACGTAGCTTGCCATGAGGGGAAGGACAGAGAGGTCACACGGGCAGAACCCACAGATTCCACAAGAAACCCACTCCCACGGTAGCTAACACCTCCCCAGCGGCTGCTTCAGAACATACAGGACCCTGGTCACCCCTGGGGTGCACTGCCCTTTCACACTGGTACAATGGCCATTACATTCCTGTGTGAGTTTTGTAAGGACAAGCCACATGTTTAACACAGCCACACCATGATCCTGACTCTCTGCTGTTCCCGTAGTCCCTGGCCTGGCAGGTGTCAACTCTTCACCCACTGCTCCAGCCTGCCCTTAGCACCATTGCCGACTCCGCCTACTTCCCTCTCAACCCAAATCCCACCTGTGAGGAAGCTGTCCATGACACCCTGTGTGTCCTGCCAGGCCGTTTTGACCACCTCCGCTGCCACCAGCCCAGGGCAAGCCCATGTCGTGTAGATTTTGGTGGCCACAGCAGCCTCCTAGTGTTCTCTGCTTCATGCTGTCCCCTTCACAGCAGCTGCCGGCGTCTTCCCACACTTAAGGGACAGTTGGCTTCCCTGATGTACCCTCCACTTGGAGCTGAGCCCAGGTCTTGCAGTGGCCTCTGAAGTCCCCCATGGTCTTCCCCTCTGCCCTCAGCTCAGTCTTCTCTCTCCATCCAGCCCTCCATTGCTGCTGGGCTGGCCCAGGGCCCTGCCTGGGGTTGCAGGTGGCAGCTGTTGGAGGTCAATCATCTCAGAAATCATTTAAGGTGAGGTGGAAACCCACCTGTCAACCCCGCATCAGGGGCAGCCTGGCCACGGCCACCTGCGCAGCGGGATCTGCTCCAGGGTGCACAGGGATGAGCAGCCACCGGAGAAGCTGCAGATGGCAAAGAGAATGTCATTAACCAGAGTGCAGTGGGGTCCAGGCGAGGCTGGGGGAGAAATAAAGAATGTTTGTCGTAAGTGTCGTCATAAAATGCCATGAGTGTTCAGGATGGGGTGAGTGGTATTATGAGTCCTCTGTGCCCACGCCCAAGTCCCATGCTTAGCTCATGACCAATTTTGCTTGTATATACCGCTCACTCTCTGTTATTTTGAGCTGAACCTCAGGCATCACATTTCAATCATCAATATTTTAGTGACACACGGGTCCTCTACAGCTGCCTCACAGGTGTGGAGGACCCCAGGACCAGGCTGAGCTCTCTCACGCCAGGCTCGGGGATGAGTTTGGCTTTTAGACCCTCAGCTTCACCCTCTGGTCTGCTGGGAAGGACTTCATCTTCAGAGGAATACTGGCAGAAAAGGTAGTTGGGGGTGGCCAGACATGGGGACAGAGAGCCTCCCAAGGCCCACCCAGTGTGAGTTATGGAAAACTTGGGTCCCAACCAAGATATCAAATAGACTTTCTATGAGTCATTGGCAAGTTGATTCTCAAACTGATATGAGGAAGCAGAGGACCAACAATAACCCAGTCAATATTAAAAGGAAGCATTGACTTTATTCTGCCTGGTTTTAAAACTCACTGTACAGGTGATGTACTCAGGATCGTGGGACCTGGCATGAAGGCAGACGCTTGGGAAAGGAAAGGCAAGTCCAAGACAGACCAGTACCCAGAGGGCCTGTTCTCTCACCTACTCTTCCTCCCTCACCCTGTCTGTCCGTCTCTCTCACCCCTTCCCTTTCCCCACTGTCCTCCCTTCCTACCTTCCTGTCTTTCTTTCTTGCCTCTGTTTGCGTACTCACTGTAAAAAGCAAAATCTTCAATCACACTGGACAACTGGACGATCGAACAAAGAAACAGAATCAAAAGCGAACAGAAAAGCTCACCCCTGCTTCACACCACACACAACGGTCAGTCTACAATGGATCATAACACTTGAACTATACACTTCTACAAGAAAACGGACTCACAACGCGGAGCAAAGATCAGCTGAGAGCCCACAAGACACAGAGTCTGTAAACAGAAACTGGAACTTCAGTTAGAACTTACTTATCAAAAACCAGACTTCGGCATGCTACAATTTTTAAACTTCACCATTTACACGTCTATCAGGGCTCCCACTCCTGTGTGCTCTGTGTGCGATGGGTACAGTTCAGGCCTGCGCATGAGAAGGCTGTCTCGGGTGTCGGTCCTCACCGGGGCTGGAGCAGTCTCGGGTGTGCGAGCAGGATAGCGGGCCTGCTCGCTTCCAGGGTGTCGCTGTCTCTGCTCCCGACTCACTGCAGGAGCGTTTGTGCACCTGCGCCCAGCTTTCCGCAAGTTCTGTGGATCCAAACTCAGCTCACAAGGTTCTCAGGGCCAGCTCTTTACCCACTGAGACGTCTCCCTGCCTCCGGCTTTCAGTCTTTGTGTGTAAATATATCCTGTGAATAAAAGCAAAACTAAAACTAAAACAGGAACCAAAACAGGAAATAACAGATCACAAAAGAAAATACAGAAATTCCCTCAAATCACAAGAGTGACCAGTAGCTTTAGCAAATCACAAGTTAAAATCACACGAAGTACCAATGCACCCAATAGAGTGGATAAAATTAAAAAGTCCAACATTATCAAGTGTTGGCAAGGATGTGGAGCACTCACAGAGCTCTAAGTTTTGCTGATGAGACTGTAAATACAATGATTTGCGTAATGTTTCAATATATACACACACACATATACATACATATATAGAGATTTATTTTTATTATTTTAAAATTGTGTATATGTCTGTGTGTGGTTAAATGGACATGACTGCAGATGCTCATAGAGGCCAGAAGAGGGCACCAGATCCCTGGGAACTGGAGTTACAGATGGTTGTGAGTCACCACATGGTAGCTAGGAACTGAACCTGGTCCTCTGCAAGAGCAGTCAGTGCTCTTAAACACTGAGCCACCTCCGCAGCCCTTGCAACTTACAAGGGCTGGGGAGTCCAGCACAGAGTGTCGAAGATGGGTCAGTGGTAAGGAGTGCATGTTGCTCTTCCACAGAACAGTTCATTTCCCAGCATCCACGCCGGGTCACCCGCCTTTAACTCCAGCTCCTGGGGATCAGATGACCCTTTCTGGATTTCTTAGGGAACCACACACATGAGGCATAAACATGTAGACAAACATACACACAAATAAAAATAAAAAGGACTCTTTAAAAGTAACAAGCATGGGTACCAGTAGATAGCTCCATGGTAGAGTGATAGTCAGGGCTGTGGGCCTTAGTAATGCAGAGAAATATACAAACCAAACATTAAACAACAAAAAGTACTTACCTTTTGACTTAGCAAGTTCATTCATAAATATTTACCCAAGGGAAATAGAATCCAAGAGGCTGCAGACACTCCTGGAAGCTGTCATTCATGAGCACCAAACACCGGACGCCTGCGTGATCACGGTGGTGGATGGATTCACAGCTTGCCAATCACACCCGTGGAGTGTTGCTCAACAATGGAAAAGGAGGAAACTGTTGACAACCACGTGTTGTATAAGGTACGTGACTTTACTACTACAAAGTTCAAGAGCGAGCAACTCTAACGTATGACCAAAGAAGCCAGGACCGAGGGTCTGCGTTTGGGGGAAGAGAAGAAGCTGACTATGAAGTCACAGAAGAGGAAATTTGGCGGCACTGAGATGCCATGACGGATTTTGTGCGTCTAGGAAGATATTGTACACGACACACAAGACACCTGCCCATTTCCTTCCTGCTGAGAAACTTTTAGATGATCCACCCGGGCTCTGATTTTAGAGGAAGCCTGAGACAGAGAAGGCAAGACACCTGTCAATGTCACACAGCAAGTTAGCGCAGGTATAACCTAGTCCCCTCCTGACTCTCTCTATCTGCTCTAGGCCTGACTCGCCTACCTAACTCTCAGAGGTCCCAGGACCCTTAAGAGGAGACAGAAAAGGGACCGCCCCTCGGCCTGCTACAACGCTGAGGGTCTCCTCCGCAGGCCGGACTTGGGCAGCCACGACCTTCTCCTTTCAGAGACTCCCACAGAGCAGGGCCCAGGGCAGGCAGCCAGGGGAGAACTGCGACCACCTTGTCCTCCACTCCACACCTGGTGAGGTGGGGGGTCCCTGTGAGCACTGCAGTGTGAGCAAGTGTAGGAGGAGAGGATGATGGAAACCAGTGCAGCTGGGAGGGTTGGCTGCGGGAGAGGCGGCCAAGCAGAGCCTCTGTGGACCCACTCGCCCCTAAATCACACGGCCCCATGAATAATAAATAAGAACCCTTGGATCCTTAATAGTAGTCGCATGTCTTATTAAACTAATATTTCACAAACTTTATTCTCCCTGTGGTTTGAGGTCGGGAACAAAGCCGTTGGGGGGGGGGGGGGGGGGGGTGCCGAGGGCCTGGGAGGGGCGTTGGGACCCACCACCAGCAGCAGCGGCTCAGCCACTTCCCCCAAGTCCAACCTGGCCTGGAGGGCCTTAGGTATCCTGTTTGTTCTTTCAGCATTCAACCCACGGTGACCAGAGTGACCAGTGACCAAGGGCCTCCTTGGAGCCAGGCCCTGCATAGGACAACAGCTTGCCACAGCTCTTCTGCAGGAGAGGGACAGACAGGTGTTCTGGAGAGCAACTATACAGGGACACAGTAGAGGGCTGGGGCGGGGGGCTTGGGAGACTTGGGGGGTGCTGGGGAGCTGGCTGCACAGGCTTCAAGGAAGGGAGGGCCAGCAAACTGAGGAGAAGGAATCTCTGATGTGCCAGGGACCACCAAGCTGGGCTGCAGGACCCAGAGCAGAGTCCCACACACCTGCTGCGAAGCCTCCCTGCCTCTGTCATCAGCCAGGTGGCCTTGAGAAGACAAGGGGGCAAGTCCCTGGGATGACTCTGATTTATGGGGAACCAGAAAGGGCTCTGGGGGACCCTCAGGAGCCCCATTTTGTCTCACGAGTACAGACCAGGGGAGCGTCTAAAAGATCTGTAGGAGGGCCGGTGTTAAGTTCAATGGCAGAGCACCAGGGTTTGGCTCACCCCTGCCTGCCCTTGTCAGAAGCAAGCAATCTCAGCCTTGCTAGCATTAGAGGAATATTTGGAGAGGAAGGCACACACAGATCCCCTAACTGATATCTATGTCCATGCTTCCTCTTCCCCAACCACAGACTGCTGACAGGTCTCTTCGGCTCACCTGGAGGCTCTGATGGATGTCCCTCCTCACAGCTCCACAAGTCTCCAGCCTTTTCATATGGCCTCCGCTTCCCTCCTCACACCTTCCTCTCGGCCCCAGCTCATCGCCTCCCTGTCTGCTGGTGTCAGACTCTGTCAAGCCCGGTGGCTCTGGGCTGGACACTCAGATGCAACAAATACCCAGGAGGGCATCCTCTCCAGCATCCTGAACCCGGGGTCTGCCCTGCTGACCCCACAGACTGTTTCCAGCCCTGATGGCTGTCCTGACTCCAAGGGGGCAGGGCCTCTAGCTGCGTAGATCCATCCACTTACCCACCTCCCTACAGGGTGTGTAGACCTTCCTCACTTGTCCTTAACGAATCAAGCTGGTGTCTGTCTCATACCTGCTCTCAAGTCCACACAGGTAGAGGGTCGAAGGCCTCTGAGCCCATCCGCTCCCTACAGGATACCCCAGTCCCCATGAGCAAGAGATTCAGTGCTTTCTAACAATTGCCTAGGTTCATCCTTTATAAGATGGTACCCAGGGTATATGGCCACGACATCATCCTCTCAGCTCCACCCCCTTGGGTAGCTATAAAATGGGAGACAAAGCAAAATGTTAATTAACTGCTGAGTTCAGGAATGGTAGTAGTACTGGTTGAGTTTAATAGCTCGATGAAGATTCTAGAATTGGACAGCAAGGAATGGTCTAGAAGCCCCTAATAGGAAGCCATAATCCTAGGAGAGCAGTTGCCAAGAAGAGCCTCTATCAGATGGGCCTGAGCCTTGACCTCCAGGGTGAAGGTCAAGATGCAAAGCTGAGAGGGGATGAGAAGCCGCTGGAAGCAAACCCCCACACAAAGGGACACGAGAGATGCATGGATGCAGGGCGGTACCGACATGATGGCCCTGAGCGCCTACTCCCTGGTGTGAGTGTGGGAGAATCCCATAGGGTCAGGATAGGGTCGGGCGTGAGCGGGATGCTGAGCAGTGTGGCTCAGAACCAGGGCACAGAGCCATGTCAAGATCACTGTGGGCTCTTAAGCATGAGTCCCAGACACGAAGGAGAAAGCTAGGCTACTCAGGGAGTGTAGGGCAAGGCAGTGGGGGAGGAACCCTGGGAGTAGAACCATATGCAGTTTCCTCCGGTTCTAGACACCTTGCACACGACTTTGGGATCCTAGAGGACACTGGGACCCTGTGCACAGTCACCTCATCAGTAGGCAGCAGGGTCAAGACACTGCCCAGGGGACACAGAATGGGTGTCCTCCTCAGGTCAGCCTACAGACTGGCCTTGGTACTCTTTTCCACCCAGAGAAGATGGCGGGCATGGGAAGAGAGGCAGCACCTGGCACCTTTCTAAGAAGCCCCAGGCTCTGGGTTGCCAAAAGTGAGCACTGTGGATCCAGAGAGAAGAAAGTCCCCATCCCTACCTCTGCCCAAGACAGGATGACCAGCCATAGTAGAAGCATTGTCTACAGCAGCCACGCGTGACTACCTGATGATCAGAATGTGGGGGTGAGAGTGGGCAAAGGAGGGAGAGGCTGAAGGGTAATTGTGAGAAAGGACGTTCTCAGAATTAGGTTTCCTCAGGAGCGGTAGTGAGTTCTTTAGCCTTAGAGATAACCAAGTTAAAGCTGTGGCTCTGTGTCTGAGTGTAGGGGTGAGTGGGTCCCAGGTGGCCTTCCTTCGGCCTTGGAAACATTATCATGGCATCATGTTTCCACCCCTAGGAATGCCTCTCCCACCTGCTCAAATCACACCTCCCCTCTGTGGGAGTCTCCTGAAGCCGCTCAGCCTGCTGCTCTGTCTCATTGCCCTGGCTTGTTGGTGACTAACTGGGCATTCCATTCCCTGAGTAGAGTCAGAGTCCCATGTATGACTCCATCAGCACCACATGCCACCGTTACGAACTGACCTGCACACTCTGAGGCCTGGCGCTCGGTCCCAAGTGCATGGATGTTGAAGGTTCCCTCTCCCAGCTGGGCAGATGAGGGTCCCTCGTCAAGAGGAAGTGACCTGTTTAAGGTTACACAGCAGGGCCCAGAAGATTCAAAGTCTGTCTCCAGAGCACACAGGCCTGGCAGCTCTCCAGGGGCTGGAGTGACAATCAAGAGAATTCACAGGTCCTGTGCACGGTCCTCTCTGGGAGCGGCTGGCCTCCACTGCTCAAGTCCTCTTTCTTTGTCTCTGTCCTTGCTGTCCCCACCCTGCCCAGCTCAGAGCTTTTCTTTTCAGCCTCCCCTGCCTTCTTTCATCCCTCTCCCACTCCATCTCTCCCTATGTCTCCTTGTCCCCACGGTTTCCCTCCCATGCCCTGCCTGCCATTTCCCACCAGCTCCTGCCACCTGGACCCACAGAGCCATGTCTCTGCTTCCCCTTGTCTTCTGGAGGCTCACATCACCAAAGCGTCCTTTGTCTTTCCACTTGCTGGGTCGCTCGCTCCCTCCTCCATTTATGAGCTAGTGTGTCAGTGGACAGGGTAGAGGGTGGAGGCCACTCACTAGTGACCCATCCTCACGATCACCTCATTATTTATCACCAGGGACACCGGTGTTTCCATAAATTACCTCGACCTGGAGCTGCCCGCGCCACAATCAATAGTGCCTCTTGCCTAATACCCAATTATTAATAACCACGGGGGGAAGGGTGTCCAGACGTGGCCAGACGTGCCACTGTTGGCCCTCGCCTGGCAGGGGGAGGGAGTAGGCTGGGAGGGAGCTGTGATCTGACTGCACAGGGTAAGCAATGGGACCAGGAGAAGGAGCTAGTGGCGTCCCCACATCCTTCCAAGGTTTGGGCCACAGACTTTGAGAGTCAGTCCCACTTTGAGGTAGGAGGAGACAGGCACCACCAAGTAAGATAAGGCACATGGCCACACAACTGAGATCAGCTCTGTGGGACCACCCAGGACTCTAGTGACAAGGGTATGGTGTCTCTTCTCCAGGTTGGGGAACTGGAGTAGGCCCTGTTGCATGCCAACTGGAGTCTGTCACCCCACTATGTGTACTATGAGTCGTGAAGCTGTGGGAGGTGAAGCTCTGCTATTGCGGGTGTCAGTGGCTGGAGGGAGGGGGCCCAGGGAGAGATGTGGGCAGGGAAGGTGGGGGCAGAGCATCTTAGGTCATTTGCAGCCAGTGAGGCCCCAGCTTGAGGCCCTGAGAGTCAGAATCAGAACAGCTGTCTATGGAGGACAGGGTTCCAGGCAGGGGGAGACAGAGCTCCAGGAGTCCCTGGTACTGGTGTAGACCAACAGCCAGATATACACAACCTCAAGCTGTCAGCTCCTCTCTTCCAGAAACACACTTACCCCACATGTGCACATCAGCACCATGATGTTTTTGCACACCAAACACTCTCCCCCTGTGAGCATCCTTATCTCATATAGTTACACAGATTCAAAGACACAAAGACACACTGTTAAAAACACCCACGGAGGCACAAATACCACATTCAGACAGCCAAGCGTGCATGTGTGCCTATGTACACAGACCCCTCCAGACTTCTCCTTCTATAATTACAGACACGGGGGCACCCTCAAATACCACCCAGCACACGTACCCTTTTGTGCACGCAGCATGCACACTACCCAGCGGCCTCTGAAGGCATCTTGCAGGAGCTGGCTGAGGCTTCCTGTGCCTCCCAGAGCCCAGTCGGCGCCAACACTGCCACCGTGTGGCCATGGGTACACAGTGCACCAGCTACAAGCCTGGACCACCAAGTCGGAGGAAGAGACTGGTGAGAGGCAGCACCTAGACATCTCACCATGTCGGTCTCTCCATCTAGAGGAGCCCAGCTGCTATTGGCCACTTCAAAGTGAGACTGGGCACAGTCCTAGAGAAACTAGGTTGGAGATTGCAGCAGCTGGAGCCAGCCACTGTGGCCAGTGATGTGCACCCAGCCTCAACCCCCACTCTGTTCATGTCTCTGTTCTCCTTGACTAGTGCCAAATGGAAGCAGGTGACCCTCCCCCACACTGGCATAGACTGTGCTAAGGCACTTACCACATCAAGTTCAATCTGACTTGAAGCTTCTTTATTCATTTATTCATTAATATCGACAGATGAGGCAGTCTAAGTTTGGGTACAGGGCTGGGATAGTGCCACAGTGAGCATTGCTGACAGGTCCCTGTCTCAAATGTCATCACTCAACACTGAAGGGGTGGTGTGATGGGTCTATATTCGGTTAACCATCAGAAAT